TTTTTTTTTTTTTTAAATAACATCAAATCATTACTTTGGGACACAGTTTTACAGGTGACCCCGAAAATGTTGTACACTGGGCTTGTATGAGTGTCGTGTTGAGAGGTCTCTAAATAAAGGCGTTCTGTAAAGAGCTCTCTGTCCCCCCCAGTTTTCTTTCCTGTACTAATGCTTAGCATGACGCACACTAGAATTGTCCAGTGTAAGACTCTTGCATGGATCGTTGCTGCCACTTTTATTCTTTTATTCAAAGTGCACAATAGATCAAAGTCATACATCCCTGTATTTGTTGTTTGTGAAGCTGAATTTGCCCAAATGCTAGTGAATAACATAACCTCAAAGGCAAAATATCAAAATGAAAAAGCTGAGAGATTAATAGTCAAAATGCAAAAATACAGAAAGTTTTTTTTTTTAATGAACATGTTTATTATATCAAATATCAACAAGATATTACAACGATTAACAAGAAAAATACCACAAATTGACATTCCTATTCAACAGCAAAAACGTTTTTTAAATTACAGACAGAATTGGAAGACACTATTTTATGTGTATACATATATATAAATATAAAAAAAATCCAAATATTCACTTTAATCTTCAACATGACATTTCTGATCCCACATTTTGTGCGTCTGACCCCAAACCACCAAAGATTAAGAAATCTTTTAATGTGTTTAATTTTCAAAATTACTATTTGGCACATTAACACGAGTGTGGAGAAGGAGCAAAGAAGTAAAGGGCCAAAAGGATGAGGTAGACCACCACTAGAGCTGTGCCTGCAGACAAGACAACGAGTGGATATAAGCAAGATATTTGACATAGGAAAAACTTTGACAAATGCACATATGAGAAAGTCCTTGATAACATCTGATTCGTGCAAAATTAATACTTACATTTCTGGTATTATATTCTGATATTGCTTACCTTGAAAGTAGTCACATTTCCCATCCATGAAGATGTAATTGACCACAATTACACTAAAGATGCTAGCCCAAAGATGAATATCGCTGAACACAAGCATAAAGCCAACATCCTGGGAGGAAAGAGGAAAAAAAATATATATATATATAGCTTGAAATGTCATAACTGGAATTATCACAAACAAAATAATAATCAATTTAACTTACATAGAATGCATTGAAGAGGATGAGCAGTGGAATCTGGATCATGCAGACCTGCACAGCAATGCAACTTCCCACTTCAAGGCTGCAAAGAGGGGACAAGGAAGGTTTAATATTTTGTGCATTTCCAGTACTCCAGATTAAAATTGAGCCCATCCAGGTGGGTTATAACACACGTGATAATATAACGGGATGATGTTATCAAACCTGAGACTGATATTGTTTTGCAGTGCAAAAAGAATCCCATTGACAATCTCAGGAAGCTCTGGCACCATGGCCAACACCGTGACCCCAATGAAGTACTGCAGTATAAGCAGATAAGCAGTTAACTTCAGTATTATAATATTTGGTCAGCTTTAATACAAGGTTTCCACTTCATTCTACATGCTACAGGTGTCTTGTTCAATAAAGTTTAGAGATTTTCCTTTACATTTTCCTTATTAAAAAAAAGCATAATAATGTATTGGAATACCTGGGAGATGGAGGAATGGGTCAGAAAGGGCTTAATGTTTTCAGTGCAGAGGTCAGCACAGCAAGCCATCAGCACTGTGGCAACAATCAGCACTCCAAGAGCCCTCCACCGGGACCAGTGGACAACATGGTGACCTGCTTGTAACATCCATACCATGAGCTCATTGACAGGTTTAACAATAAGTACTTATGACCTTAAACCGTTAGTGCCCTTTATTTCATTAACTTAAAAACAACAAAAAAAAAAAAAAAAACACAAACCCAAATCATTATCATTGCAAATATTAGATTGTAATCTGCTCTCTAGAGGAAAGGCTCTTTCAACCAAATAACATTTCCAGATCTACCCACAGATCATTCCACACAGTCAGTGCATAGGGACATCCAAATATGCATTTTAAGAGGTATGATCTGCAATCTTGTTCCCCTCTAAAAGCCAGCTTGCTTATCACCTTTAGCTTGTGCTACATTTTAAATTAGCATCCAGACTTTGCTAAAACAAACAAAAATACAAACTTCTAATTTGCTAATTCTGATTACTGGTCTGCCATGAGAGTCAAATAAAGAATAATGAGTTAATGTTTAATGGCTTGAGGTGCCAAGATCTTGTTGGGCACACACACAATGACAGTTATATTTCATGATTTTTTATTTTAATGCATAAACGTTCAAAAAAAGGCTTTTTTTAAATTTCAGCTGTCATGACAGATTTCTTTTCTGATGTATTAATTATATATTTGAATCATACCACATTAGTAATAGTAATATCACTTTCTCACTGTCACTTAGTAGTATGCATGTGCACTACAAATGGGCCTTATGCTCGACACACACACTTGACACAGTGAGGCCATTGTTAGTTCATGGGAGATGTTAAACAGATAGTGAGACTCCTTCTCCTTATCAGGGATGTAAATCCTTAGGTGACGGCCAAGCAGAAAACAAGATCATAATTCTCTCTGTGAGGGAGAAGGTTTTAAGGATGGGGCTGAAGGTATAGTGAGATGGGCCAACATGTAAGAGTTCTTTGTCTGCAATGTGTTTATTAACTCCTTCTCCAAAATGCTCACCAGTCTTGCTGGTTGCAGAACTGGTTGCAGTTTTATTTAAGATTTTCCATAACACAGCTGGTTTGCATTTCTTTTTCCCCTAGAAAACAATTTAATGCAATTCCCTTAATCTTCACAGGTTTTTACATGCAAAACTGCCTTATTGCAACACTGCACATGCTTGGTAATAAGGAATGCAATGAGCAATAAGCATTTTGCAATCATTTCACTTTCCTATTCCCCAAAAGATTAAACTGTATGCACAACACATCTGTTGCAATGTGGCCCATGGGCAATAATACTGGCATTAATACATGGTTTGGTGACAAGTAGATGGCCGGTGGTGATTTCACCAGTGGGGTTGGAGGTGCTGGTACCCTCTTGTGTGTACTGACCGTGTGCATGGCCCCCGTGACCATCGCTGATATGGATATCATAGATGTGGGAATGGGTCTTCAGTGTGAAGATGAGGCCAATTAGGTATGCAGCAGGCAGAAGGACAGAAATTGTGTACATAAGAGGCCTGCAAAAAAAGAAAAAAAAAAAAATTATCACTCAAAACAATATCAAGCTAATCGTGTTGGAGAAGTGCTGTGCAATCAAGCATCAAGACTTACTCAATATCGGACAGAATTAAATGGGGCTCACTTTGACTCTGTTGTGAACACAAACAAGATAAGAATGAAAAATCAACAATAAAATAAGATGCAACATGTCGCCCTGGAAAAACCTAAAAGTTGAGTCTTTCCTTTGGACATTTTTAAGTGTACTTACTGAGCTCATCTATAACAAAATACCCTATAACTCTATACAAAAAGAAGAAGCAGCCACCCACCGTGTCATAGTGACAGTTTTTACAGACGAAGGACACAGTGGCATTGCCGGGAACATCGCTGCAACTTTCACACATCAGATTACCAAAGGTCTTTGAAAACAGGGTAGGTGCAAACACACCTAGGGACAATATTGCAGCATGGAAGGGGTTTGGACTCAGGTTTTGGAAGAATTTTGTTTCTCAGTTTGTTTTATGCACATCTGCCATCCTTACCTCCAATGGATATGAAGAGCAAAGCTGAGCTCACTCCAGCTGAACGGCTGTTAAATCGTTGCTCCTGGTGTTTAATACCCCCAATGATCATACATATACCCTGTGCAGTTAGAATTTTTATGCAATGAGTAGAGCCATCTGCTTAAGACATCTAATTACGAATATAACCAATGGGCACAATTCATCTGCTCTTACTGGTATGAACAG